CCCCAGCAAAACATGTTTATTTGTAAATATGCAAGGTGAATAGATATTTTCCTGTCCGTTTTTTTTTTTTGGGATACTGTTTCCATAATAATGTTCCATACATTTTGGGGCCTGTAGCAGGAAATGAAGTCTGTTTGAGGTGTCTGCCCACCCTTGTGAATTTTACTCGATAAGCAACTCGATACACAACCTATGATTTCATATAGCAGTGTATCTTCCCTCATCAACAACTAGAAACTTTCTGTCAGAGCCCAGGAGGGCTAATTTGTTAACTGTAACTTTCAGAATATAGATACTGCTACATTTCTCCTTACAAATAAGGGAACAGTTGGCGAGATGTGCTGGGTGTTTAAATTTCACTCATTTCTTGTTCCTGATTTCTCTAATCACTACTTGTAGCTCCCTATTAAATCCACTCCAGAAAAGTGTTTTTTTTAAAAATGTTACCACTATAATAGTAATGCCTCTATGCAAAGTCCATTGGATAATCACTGACACCTAGAGAAGAGGCAGAAACTGGATGTTGATTGCACAAGGGACTTACGTCCAGCATAATGAAGGATACGGAATATGAAGCTGAGTAGAATATATACAGACCTCACTCAGCCCTCAGCCCTTGGCTCTTAGGCTCTCATACTGAGGAAACTCAAATTGAAATTCAGGCCTTTAGTGTAGTGCATACTCACCTGATTTTCTGTCTATTGCAGTCTGCTATCCAACACCTCTCTTCTGTCTTCCTGTGGCAACCAAATTAGGGATTTTTTTGGTAGTGTACCAAAAGAAACCACCACTGATCCTGAACCATACTGAAGTTTAGTGGTGGTTAATCATCACTTCAGTTTGTTTATGTTCTGCATTTGGTATGTTCCTATAGGTTGCCCTTCTGTTTTGTTCTGGTTAGTACAATCCTGTCAGAGCACACTGAAAACCAGACAAGCATGAGGTGCTAGTTAAAAATACTTTATTAAGAAAAGTGTCCACAGGAGCAGGCAAAAATCATAAACAGGAACAAGCCAAGGTCAGGAGCCGGAGTGGGTAGTAGTATAAGCCAGGTCAGGAACATGGAGATCAACGTTGTCAGGAACAAGCCAGGAGCAGGAACCAGAAGAGAACGTCAGCCAGGATCGGGTCATACACGGAATCAGAATACTCAGAGCAGCAGGAATGTACTAGCAGGTAAAACCACGCATGGGCAAGGTCAGACTGGACTGAGCAGTTTAAATAGTGAGTGGGGTGACATCATCACTCAGAGACAGGAAACTCCAATCTGACTTTCTCAGAGGATGCTCCCTGTTTGGCCATAAGAGGAAGCCTGGGAGTAGTGAGCAACGTTACACAGTCTGCTCAGACAAAGGAGGAATCACAGGTAGGTGGAATAGCAGCCAAGCCAGAATGCTGCAAACCAGTTAAGTCAGGGTGGAACTCTAACACATCCTAGCTAGACCCTCCCTGTTTTTCCCCTTCTTTTTTGTTCAGCTAGTTCAGTTCATGGCAGAGATAAGGCTTAGGAAAGGTGTTGTCTTGTTACACTTCAAAAGACTGGAGAAACATCATCTGTGCTGCACTCAACTGAAGTAAAAGTATGTTGTATTCAACTTATGTGTCTTATTGAAGAATTAGGCTGCCTGTGGATTGTGCTAAGTTAGCAAGTGATCATACTACAGGAGCACAGCACAGGAGAAATCTTGAGGATCATTCCTAGTTACAGATCTCCCTTGCTTTATCTGTGAACTGGGTAGCATTTGTTTAGCAATATATTATTTAGCTTATTGGTATTTAGTTTATGGCTTTTTCTGAATTAAACTTTGTATGCCTAATGCAGCCTTACTTAGGCTGTTAAAAAAACCCAGTGTCTACTCCATCAAAAACTGATAAGACAGCTAAGGTTTGTTTAATGACATTTAAATGAGTGTTATAGAGTAATTGTATGCACTGGTGAGCTACTGTGGGCAGAGTAGTTAGCGAGAAAACTTTCCTTATGCCCCTGCTCTGCAGCATGTAGAAGATGGAATTTCTCTTGGTGTTAAGGTTACAAATCAGCTGGGATAAAGGCTGTTCTGCCTTTGCATAGTGGTTACTAGACATGTAACCCCGCAAAAAATGTGTTTAGTTTTGGATTTTTTTCCCTCTTTCATTTCCTGGATTTTGGATGCGAAATTCAATTCGGTTTTCATATCCATCCGATTTTTCGTTTTGGAAAGATCCACAAAAAAAGTCACATGACTGTGCCTGTAATGCAACCCGCAACAGCTAAAAAAAACATGTGATTGGCGAAAGAAAAGTCACATATCCGATTTAGTTTGCTTTGAACAAAATTTGTACAGATCCAGAACATTCAGATTTGTTTGCATTCGGATGTGTTTGAATTCAGAAATGCAGATGCATCCATTCTCCCTTACTGGAATTCTCCAGTCATCCCCACTGTTTAGGAATGGGTGACTGAATTGTGTTCTATAATAATATTTGAGGAGCTGACGGCTCATAGCCATGACCGATAATCGCAAGGTGCTGATGTGTGGGCACCTTGAATTTTATATATAGATTCTGCTGCATTTCGAGTTCTATATCAGAACTATGCTCTGATTTTAGTGGTTAACTACTTGTATATCTCCTCATGCATGCTTGATACTTATAATTTTCTTTCCATGCACTCCCAAAACTGGCCATGCTGGGTTCTCCTCTCCTCCCCCCCCCTTCCCCCCTCCCCCCTTTTTTTCTTATTTTTTCTCTTTTTCTTGTTCGCCTTTTTATCGCCTCTTCCTCTGTCTTTTCTTGCTTTCCTTCTTCTTTCCTTCTCTTACTAGTATTGTGGCCTACAGATGCAAAATAACTACCAACTCTAAACTTTAAATTTTTGAATCCATCTTTCCACTATGTTGTTGCTATCAGCTTTTCCTACGGTGTGTTAAAATAAAAGACTAGAGTACTGGCACCATCTAGTGCCTATATTATTAGAATACGCATACACTTAGAATAGATACGTATTCATACAGATACGTTGCTACAACTGATACTTAAGTGAACAAAATAGCAGATGAGTGTAGAAGGAACTTGGAACGAACAGGCAATTATGTTTTCGACATTGCCAGCTGAGGTCTTGCATCAGACTCATAAGGGCTCCAGTTTCTGCCTTACATAAGATGCTCCACTTTAATTTGGAACATTCAATGGGATATTATTATGTTATTCAAGGCCTTCAGGTGTTTAAAGCAAAAACTACTTTAAAGCTGGCCATACACCTTACAATTATCTGCAGATTTTCTGTGGTCAGATGGAAAAGGTGCAACAGATTCCTCCATCTACGCTAAACTGTGTGGATGGAGTAATCTCCACCTGGGCCAATCTGTTGCACTTTTTCCATCTGACCACAGAAAATCTGTAGATAATTGTAAGGTGTATGGGCACCTTAAAGGTGCCGACACACCTTGCGATAATCGTACGATAATCGCGGGAAATCCCGCGATTGTACGATTATCGCAGGAAATCCCGTGATTGTACGATTATCGCAAGGTGTGTGGAAGGCGTGCGACCGTTTCAGCGGGGCGAGCTTACGATTATCGCAAGTACGATCTGACTGTCCAAGATGGGCAGATCGTACGTTTTTTTAATTACCTTACAACCATCGCAAGACAAAAGTCTTGCGATGGTTGTAAGGTCTGTGGCCAGCATAATACATGATAAGGAATCCCACAAGAATCATTGATCTGTAAGTACAGCTGTGAATATGTGCAAACCCAAAAAGCAAAAATACTCAAATCAATGAATAGATAGACTAGAACTTCAATACAAATGAGCTAACTAAAGGTGAGATTGTAGTCCATCACAAAGCGATCTTGGAGCAGTGACTACTTTACAACACACACAGGGACCAAGGGGAACAAAAGTAGCCACCCTCCAGAAGGAAGGACAGTGTTGTGTAGGGATGATTTATGATCAAGCTGAATCACATTGTGTGTGATGTGTCAATCAAATATATATTCTTTTAATATGTGTATAAATGATACAGTTATGCAACAATAATTTGTAGCAAGCAACTTATGTAAGAATGTCAAGTCATGATAAGCCATGGTGGTGATGGTTGATAAGCATCTGTGAATCTGTGAAGACCATGGGTGTGTCAGACTAAAATGGATATATATATAAAAGAGTTGGGATTTGTTGTTTACTTCGGAGCATCTCCTATACAGCTACTATACTCTCTACTGGTGTGGTCAGCACCAATTCAGAGATGATTTGAGGATCTACAGCCGAGTCATAGACAAATAAGGTGCATTTTTGTTTAGAATGTATTTGTAAAAGTTTGGTGTCACTTTAAGTCCCACTGGCACAACAACTGAAAATAATTACAAATAAATGACTGAAAAAAAAATTATGATGTGCATCTATGATTTTTGTTTTCATTTTGTGACGTGATAGTTTTTAGAGACTAGGACTCTACCCAATTTTTTGCTTTATCTGTTCTCATTAACATGTTTGTGAAAACTTCAAACACTGTGTAAACTACGGACAGTTTAATAAATATTAGACATTAATAGGAAAATAAAGCTATTTGTTCATTTTATTGTCCTTTTATATGACACATAAATAACACTGACATATTTCAAGTTAGTTTTGATATTTCAGTAACAGCAAAGGAGTCATTTCACAAAATCCGATGTACTCTTACTGAGGAAATACAAATTTCAGTATAAAAAAATATATATAGACAATAGTTGCAAGTAAAAACATTTACATTAAAAAGGAATGTCAAATCATAGTGCTGTATTTATAAACAATTTTCAGAGCCAGCAAAATTGCATGAAATAAATAATCCTTTCCTATGCTCCATCTAGTGGTCATTATGTGACATTTTCCTGAAATTACATTAAATCTTGAAAGAAAATATGCTAACAACATTTATTTTTGCCTCCATGCACACAGAACAAACGTACATGCAATTTTGCAAGGCAAATGGCTCTGTGAATTGTTTCTAAATGCACCCTATAATCTTAACATTTGTATACATGTGCATTTATATAGGAATATTTCATCAGCTAGTCTATGCAAACCAAGAACAGTTAAAAGATGGTGAAGTTACTAGTTGGCAGCAACCAGACAATGAAGCCATACTGTAGTTCCCAGCAATGGTGACATTTGATGGACCATTGGTAGCCACCCTAAAAATAAAAAAGACAAACAGATTATTGCTAGTTTCTAAAACCTGAAAGCCAACCAACATGTTTTGGTTACATTTAGATAGATTGGATATAGGTTAGACCTTCTGAAATTTTGTTTTGCTATTTAAGCCCGCATTGGAGACATTTACTTCACTTTATATTGCATCAATGAGATGGTAAGTGAACAGAATGTGTCAATTGGGGACAGAGACAACAACGAAAGATCTTTTACTAGTTGAATAGAGTTTGGAACTTCCATCAGCTTTTTGTTGCTGCATGTACCTCCACTGAGGAGTTCATCTATACTTCTTATATCACCAGGACAGGAAGTGGTGGGAAATCTCCTTAGTGAAAAACTGACAGGGGTTCTAAACCTTCCCCCTTCTCCTCAAAATATAAAAAAAATGGCTGTAGTATAAATTATATTTCTACTTTTGTTGCCAGTGATTAAGACAAATAACCAATGCAATAGGAGTCAAGGCAACTGGACTTGCTGTATTTTTCTTGAAGACATTTCACTGGTCATCCAACCAGCTTTCTCAATACAGAATACAAAAATAAAAAAATTAGATTTTTTTGGAGTTTGTAGTTTGAATTTGCATAGTTGGAAAATTATGCAAATGCACTTAACACCTGGTTGTGACTAACATATTATGTGGATTGGAACAACATTCACCATATTTATTCCCAGATAATTTTTGTACAAGTCATTCTGAATTGAGAAAGCTGGTTGGATGACCAGTGAAATGTCTTCAAGAAAAATACAGCAAGTCCAGTTGCCTTGACTTATTTTTTAGAGATATATAAATGACCTGGATGAATGAGAACATTAACAGACAATGCAATAGGGATCGCAGGCATGAAATTGCTACATTTATTTCCTCACTAGCAGGCTGTAAAGGTCAACTTTTTGTTAACTAGGACTGTTACATTGTGCATTAACCACTTGAAGACCGGGGTGTCATGCAACGCTGTACAGAAATTAATTTTATACCATTTTTTGGGGACACATAGCGCTTTCTTTTGGTAGTATTTAATCACCACTGCAGGTTTTATTTTTTACTATATAACAAAAAAGTACCCTAATTTTTTTTTTAAAAACCTGTTATTAAACATTTATTATCACCCCAATTTTTTAGTAAAATATAAAAGACAGGGTCACGTTGGGTAAATAATAAGTACTATCCTTGTCGCACTCCTTATCGATATGTCCCTTGTATTGGGGGGTGCTCGCAGTGACTGCCGCGCATGTCAGCAAAATTGTACAAATGTCACCAGCACACTAGTCCTTTTAAGATAGCAAGCGCTTTCGGGACCTCACAGGGTCCCTTCATCAGGCTTTAGCGGCGGCAACAGAGACGGCAGGGGGGCGCACACCCGCACCTACTACAAGCGACCGGGCGTCTCTAGACGCCCGTTCGCTTGAATGTAAACAGCCATCACTGGCTGTTTACATTTCTGAAAGTTTACCCACTCGTGTGCGCGCTGAGCACCACACACGAGCAGGGGGAGGGGCAGGACATCTTAAGACGCCCTCTCGCTCATATAAGGCTGCCGCCCGGTCGTTCAGGAGTGGCCATGGACGGCAAGTGGTTAATGTGTGTTGCGCATTAATGGGTGTTGTGCGTTGCATTAAAGAAGCCCATTCATTTTGATTGGGCTGCCAATGCACCCTAGCACTGCCAAAAACCTACCTGACCCTTTTTTGGGAACAAAATGCGCAGTAGTATTTTGCGCTCCAGCGCAGGTGTGCTACTTTAATGCTTTTGGGTGCCATTTATGCAACACACATACGCAAACATAGTGCTGCCGTGCACATTGCAGTTACATGTGCGGTAACTCTTGCATTACTGCAGCGCAGTAGTGTGACCCTGGCTATCATGATCGTGAATGTAACTAACTACTATAGAAGTAAATAGATAAGCACACCAAATGCAGATAACATGTTAACTAGGTGTGAGAAAGAAGAGATTCCACCAAAACATACTTAGTGTATTTTTTGTGGTATGAATATAATTTTATGAGATGCTACTTACTTGTTTCTTAATGTACTGTGCATACTTCATAAGCTTCATAAGCTAGTCTGCTGTTTTTAATATTTATACTTATTCTCGATGTCCTATGTATATGTTGTATTCTCTGTACTGTACATTTGTTTTGTGGAAAATAGTACTTTAAAAAATATAATATAGCATGTTACATGCATATCTATACTCTTTAAAAGGTCTGCCCCAACTAAAACAGCCAAGAATTTGTAATGGTCACTAAAGGTAGGCAGAAATGAAAATTCTGATGGGAGTTTCTGCCCCCAAAAAGATAATTTAACAGAGCATTTGAGTCAACTATGCAATACTGAAATGGATAGAATGACCTTTAATTTAAGTACTTGGAATGAACACAGTATTTACTTACACAATTTTTCAACAACATTTTAATTGTACTTCCCTGTTTTTTTACGCTGATAACAATCATTATTTGCCTAAGAAGGCGAGTATCCTTATCATTCTGGAAAGCAGGCGTTATCTAAATAATTTCACATACTTACTGTTCATATAAGGTCAAGCAGCAGTCAATTAATTCCGGTGAGTTAGCAGGGAAAGCTGTGGAATTGAGGAAGGAATTTTCTAGCATATCAAAACATGATCCTTGTGTTACTGGTGGAGATAATATTCCTGCAGATGTCAGAAGGAAATATAATTAGATAACAGCTAATATAAGTTTGTATACATAGACAGGGTTGTTCACAAAAGGGTGCAGAGTTTGGAGAAGCAGAAGAAGTGAACAATCGAGCCCAAATTACCTGCAATACAAGCTGTCATGAAGCAAGCCACTGTTCCAGCAATCATAGCTCTGATAGCACCTGCGGCAATATCACTGTTTCTGCTGGGAGCCATGGAGCCTAAAACACACAAGCAAAGCCAACATCTTGAAACAAACAAATATATAAAATGAATATGTTATTGGTGTATTAAACATCAAAATTCTAGATAATAGGGTTGCAGGTCATCCTCACAAGTGTTGGTACAACCGTACAGTGCTGTCATGTAAATCATCCTTTAGGATGGTAATACTTTGGATTTGTTTGGGTTTATATAATTTGTTTGATTGACATTGCTTTTAATTATTAGCTCTTTAAACAATAGCAGATACATTGGGGATAATTTGCTAGGGAAATATGTTGTTCACTTTGCAAGGGAATTTTAACTTTGCAGGGGAAGTTTCCCCTTTGCTTAGTAAATGAGGTAAAACTTTGCACCTAACAACCAATGTTGCACCTAACAACCATCACCTCCTCCTAGTAACTAGCTTTCCATTGCTCTGGTCTGGTAATGCCTGAAAAACATGTTGAAAAATATGCAAAAGCGCAAATAAAGCTTCAAAATCGCCAAGAAACAATTAAAAAAAGATTCAAATTACATAAACAACAAAATAAGAATAGAATTGCTTATGTATAGACAGATACTGGTGCATTTTCTGAACAGTTACATTATAGACAGTTTTAAATCATTATATGATCCTACACTACCTAATAATAGAAAATAAAACAATATATAAGTCAAAAAGTTTTAAGCTACTTCAAATGCTGATTAAATCACTTATAATTAATGATGTGCTTTGATGTTTAAACATTTTAAACTTCCTACTGAATCAGCTGGGCCCTCTGAGCATTGGTCCAATGGAGCCACCCTTGTGTGTGATAGTAAGCTGTGTGCATCTCCACAAACACACAGGCACAGCAGGGCAAACCACTTCCCCCGCTCCCCACCCCTCCTTCCTATCTCCTTTTTTTCTCTCCATGCTAGCAGACAGACAGTGTCTTGTGATCTTGTACTGGACAGGAAGTTCAGGGTAGCTGAGCTGAGAAAGTTAGAGCTGTTCAGAAACATAATCACTGCAAGTGCTTGGGCAAAATGTAAAGATAATACTTTGCTGGGCAATGTACATTTATTTGATCCCAATTCATTATTGAAAAAAGTTTGAGCGTTTATTGTTACTTTAAATTATATAAACAAGTAAACTTTAAAATTTCACCCTCTTATGGGATCCTTTTCATTTAATTTTAGTCTGTTTTGGAGTTTGCACTTGATTGGATAAATTTAGGGAGCAGAGGGAGTAAATTAAACAAGTGCAGAATATTTAAAGAATGCCCGTGTCTGTGGCATGGCGGATCTGACAGGGACCATGCAGGCTGAAACGTGGTCAGAATGCAGCATTTGTGTATCCTACTCTCTTTACGTTAGTGCTGATCATCTATTTTACCACAGGACAAATATACATGGCATTTTAAAGGGCAAATGGCTCTGTATTGTTCAGAAATACACCCCAAACCTTTCTTTTAACTCCCCCTTTCTGGGGGGAAAAATGGTTAAAAGACTGAAGGAGCTTTTAAACTAGATAATGAGGGGTAGGGTAAAATAAAAACCAAAAAATTAAATATTAAACAACCTATTGTGACAGATATCGACATAGTCAAAGTAGTAAATCATGCCAATATAGAGACCATATTAAATCTAATTGCCCAAGGTGATCCAAGTAGGAATGGACCAACCGTAAAAGGGACAAATAAAAGCAGTAGTGGGGAGCAAGAGGGGAGCAAACATTTAACTAGTAAATGTACAAAAATTAAATGTATGTTCACCAATGCTAGAAGTCTAGTAAATAAAATAGAAGACCTTGAAGTTATGTTACTCGAGGAGGACTACGATATAGTAGGAATAGCAGAAACATGGTTAGACGCCACACATGATTGGGCTACTAACATAGAAGGGTACAACCTGTTCAGGAGGGACAGGCTGGCAAGAAGGGGGGGGGGTATGTATATATGCTAAAAATAACCTAATTATTCACATCCGTGACAATATCGTGTCAGCTGGTGGAAAGGATGTGGAATCGTTATGGCTAGAACTAGATAGAATGAACCCTAACTGTAAACTTATTGTGGGTGTCTGTTATAAACCTCCAAATATAGGGGAGGAGGCCCACCTACAATCGCAAATAGAAATAGCGGGGAAAGAGGGTAATGTTGTGGTAATGGGAGACTTCAATTACCCAAGTATCAACTGGGCTAATGGAACTTCCAAATTGGCTAAGGCAGCCTGTTTTCTTAATATGTTGCGAGACAATTTCATGGATCAGATGGTTGAGGTCCCGACTAGGGAAAATGCAATCCTAGATCTGATCATCAGCAATAATACGGAGTTAATTGAGGATATTGTAATAGGGGAGACACTGGGCAATAGTGATCACAAGGTGATTGCTTTTAATATTGGGTGCAAGAAAGGGAAGGGGGATGGGCAGACGAGAAGCCTAAACTTCAGGAAGGCTAACTTTGATAAACTACACAATATAGTGGTTGAAATCGATTGGGAAAACTTATTTGATAAACTAAACTTTGACCAAAAGTGGCACTGTTTCAAGAACAAATTAAAAAATGCTACTACCAGGTGTATACCGCTGGGGAACAAAAGTAAAAGATCAAAAACAAAGCCAATATGGCTAAATAAATCGGTAAAACAACAAATTAAGGAAAAAACAAATAGCATTTAGTAAGTATAAAACGGAGGGGACAGTATCGGCATTACAAAACTACAAATAATTTAATAAAAGATGTAAACTGGCAGTGCGGGCAGCTAAAATTGAATGTGAAAAATATATCGCTGAAGTTAGTAAAAAGAACCCCAAAATTTTTTATCAGTACATAAACAGTAAAAAAGGAACAGATCGGCCCAATAAAGGACATAAATGGGTCGTTACTCACAAACGACAGGGAGAGGGCTGAGGCGCTAAATAATTCTTGTCGGTATTCACCAAGGAAACAGACGGGCCCAATGTACATGATAAAACACAACATTTAACAGGAAATACACCTGAATGGTTGACGTGCAAGGGGTTATTCACAGTTAGAGTGGTTAGGGTCTGGAACTCGCTGCCGCAGGATGTGATTTCAGCTAAGAGTGTTGAATCATTCAAGAAACTCCTGGACGAGTCTCTTGGAGATCGTAACATAAAGGGGTACAGGTATTGCTAAGAGAAAAATCACACATGGACTCATATACACGCACAAACCTGCTCGAACATAAATGCATACACGCAATAGGTTGGACTTGATGGACTTATGACTTTATTTAACCTCAAATACTATGTAACTATTTGTGATGAGTTGTTATTTTGGGGGGAAAAAAACAGGATTCCCATTATATTGAACTGGTGCCCGTTCACACCTGAGGATCATACTGTCACATAAATTTTTTGGTGCCTATTATCACATGAGCATCATGCTGACTCTTTTCGGGCAGACTCGTGCATTTTTACATAGACTACAATAGGAGCACCTGAGAATGTGCAACACAAATGGTTTAGTGCATTTTTTTGTGCCAGTCTCCTCCTCCTAGCAGCTTCAGGCCTGTACACAAAAAGGAGGATTCAAGAGTAGTCATGCTGAATGTGGAGACTTTGATCCGCCTTATGAGGGCCCATAAGAACCCCTACGACCCCAGGGATGCCCATTATAAGAACCGTGACAAGTAGCAGAGGGCCTTGGAAGAAATTGGGTCTGTCTGTAGGATCCATGCATTTGGTATGCTTTTAATACTTTCCTTTGGCCAAACACATCTAAAGCTTGGAAACACATGAAACACACTAAAAAAATGCGCACAAAAGTGAACGTGTTAGGTTGGGCAATGTTAATGCTTTTTCACTCATACTCACATACATATATTATATAAATAAGGTATTTTTGAGAAAATCTGATAGAAATTTTTTAAAAATTTTTTGCCAATCAATTTTACAGAGCATAATAATAGACAAAGGTAAATAGGAAGCAGCATGAGGTAACAAGTACCATAACTTAGAGTTATTTACAGTATACCCTACAGAGTTAAATTACTAGTAATAATTAATAGTGGGTTTGGAGAGGAGGGTAATGCTAGCCATACTGAGTGGTACGGAGGAGAAGTAAAATGTTCTCGTTAAGAGAATGTATTGGCAGCATCATTTATGATCAGATAAATAACAAAGATCTATTAAAAAGTGGAGGTTGGTAGTAAGTTATTCAGGATTGCTATACATGGAGAAAATTTGGAGAATGGGTGTCGGACAGAATGGCTGTCCATTTTCCATTGTTCATGATGCCAGTGAGCCTATTTTTGACTGCATCAGCTTAAAGCATGTGTTTCCTAAGATTAGGACTTTACTGGAGCTTTTGGCAGTTGGTATATATCCTTCCATTCATGTGTTCGTAAGGAGGAATTATGCTCAGTTTTCCAACGAGTCTGATACACTCCAATGAGTGGGAAAAAAACTTGAATACGTACTTAGTCCTCCAATTGTTATTCCCAACGAGCCAAAATTTGCAAATCCACATAAGGCATATGTTGCAATAGTTTCTGATCGTATCTATTTCAAATGACAAAACGTTTGTTAAAAAAATGATATTTTTTGAATAGTATTTTGTTAAAAGGCTATCAGATATCACTTCTGTTTTTAGTAGAAGATGCAGTGACTTCTACTCTTTTATTCTAAAGAATCAATGTTTGAATGAAATGTTAGATTAGGAAATTGTGTCTATATATGGATGGATTATGTGTGAAAAAAAAATAAAAAATATTATATTGCTTTTCAGTGATCGTCAATACTTTTGAAGCTGATGGCTAACTCTATGGTTACATATTGCTTATAAATATAATAATATTGAACATGGGTTGCCTATATAAATATTGCAATGCACTTTTTTTTATACAAATTCAAAATGATGGATAAATCCCACATACCGACATATACTGCTTCACTCCATCAATGAACAGTGGTTCATTATTCTTCCTCTTTGTAATCAGCCCAGCCAGGTATTCATATGCAACAAATTCATTAAAAAAGGTTTTGTATCCTATAAGTTTGCCAACTATGAAGCTGTCTTCCCAATCCACACCCATCATGAAGGAAAATGGCATAAAGATATAGGAGCATATTATCTGACCAAAGAGAAAAACAATGTAATAGAGAATGAAACATTTGAGCCAACAACATGAAAAAAATAAACATAGCATAAGCAAACCTTGCTGTAGAGTTTTGCCGGCACTCCCTCTTGGGCAATAGTACCCCTGCTTTGGGAGGGGGACCCCCATTTTTTGGCAGAACCTCTCTGAATGCACCTCCACAATGCTAATGGTTATGTTGGATGATATTAGCATAACAGGGGGCTGCATGCTTGCTACCCCCATGTTTAGGGATGACAGGATGGATTCAGATTATTCTATTTTGATTTTAAGAATCTTTATGCAGCGCAATTTTACTGCAGCTGTATGCATGGTCCCATAGCAGACAACACAAAAATATATGATTTTAAGTCTCTGTGCATGAGCCCTTAGAGCCACTGAAATTAGTGGCAGTATGACATACAATGGCTTGCAAACGTATTTTTCCTATTTTGTTGCATTACCACCTGGAACATAAAAATCCATTTTAATTCCAGGTGGTAATGCAACAAAATAGGAAAAATGCCAAGGGGGAGAATACTTTTGCAAGGGGTGAAGGGGTTAATTTACTAAATAAGTTGACAATCTTTACTCAGTTTATTAAGTAAAAACATGTGCAACTCCTTTAGTAAATCAGCCTTTTGCCTAACCCCCTGAAATATAAAGGGGTATCATATATGTTATAACCTTCACATATTTGTGGTTGTTGTAGATCAGGATAAATAGGGAAATATATTTTAGGGGCTGATTGATAAATGTTTTGCCCACCGTATAGGTGGACAGATGCTGTTTACACGGCACTAGCGCCACTAAATGGAATTCCTATGTTCCTCAGCTTCATCTAGAGGCAGTAGTGCCATATAAATGGTATCCACCCAGCTTTAAGCTCGACGGAACATTTATAAATCAGCCCCTTATTGTTATTTATATGTAGTATAGTCAATATTTTAACGTTTGCAATAATGTCATAAAAATTGTATACATTATACAATAATGAAGCATTTTTTAAAAAGCATTTGTGTCAATTTGTTACTAATAACAAAATTTGTGAGAGATATTTGTCTATAACATAAAAAAAATACAGGTACTGAAAAGGGTTAAAATGATATACATTAAACTGACAGCTTTGGAATTAATTTATATCTAAAAAATAAAAATACTTTCTTTTATTGTCTTTAACTACAGTGCTTTACACCTCTACATATAGAAACAATGCCTACCTCAAAACTCAACTGTGGAAAGTCAAACATATTTCCCAGCCAGGAGAGGGCAGCATTGAAAAAGGCTAGCAATGACAGGAAGGCCATCAAATTCACTGCTATATTTGCTACCAAAGGGATTGAAGCAGAAGCTCCTTGACTCGCAGCTTCAAGAATGTTTCTTGCATCCCTAATGCAAAGAAGTCAAAAACAGTATTTATATAAGTATCTATTATTCACCACAATGTGAAATACATAGAGGGGAATTTATCAAAACTAGAACAGACAACATTTGGAGCAGCTGTGCATGGTAACCAATCAGCCCCTCTCTTTTATTTTCAAAGCGAAACTGAACAAACTGAAGAGAGAAGCTGATTGTTTGCTATGGGCAACTGCTCCAGATTTTGTCTGCACCCGTTTTGATAATTTCCCCTCATAGTACAATACATACTGTATAATAAGAAACAGTTTCTCCTGGTGCCAATTTCTGGCACATGATGCTCTGGGCAAAGAGGTTTCAAGTGCTGATATGAATGTGCAGCAGAAAAAGGGTTGAATGTCGGCAGGATGCAAAGGGGTTGATTACTGGTCAGGTTACATATTAAGGGAGAGGATGACAGTCAAAGTTTGACTTCAGCCAAAATTTATTTTGTAGTTTTGGATAGATTGTGGGAAGGCTGAACCCTTGTCAATTTTTGTATGCTGTCTGAGGACACAAGGACATTTCCCCTCACTTCCTGTCCTAGTAACAACATGGTCACTTAAGCAGGAAGGGAGGAGACAAAGACAACACAAAAAAAAGCTGATGGGGGTTCTTGCTGTCTGCTACACAGCTAAAAAAGAATATATTTATTGCAGTCCATGTCCCTCTGTCCCTTTTGGGGATGTTGCCCCACTTCCTCAACTCGTTTCTTTTACTGTTGACCTTTTCACCAGCTCATTAGCTGTATTAGCAAATGGGGGAGAAATTATACAAAGGATGTTGCACACTCTACTGTACATGATAATGCAAATCAAGAATAAACTGAATTTTTGAAGTAATGTGTTTATGAAGTTAAGTTGACCACAAACTTCAGAGTGCAGTCAGATTTACATGCACAATTCAACCACCTCCAGGCACCATTGTACACAGGGTAATTCTTAGTTTGTTTAAATGTTTATGTGCAAGTGATTGAAGATGTTGCTTGTACTACAATACAATAACAATACAATAACAATAGTGCTATGGAAAAGTTTTCTGCTTCTCCCCACCCACCATGGCTGGTCAGCAGGTTTGGAGGCTGCCAAGAATGAGATGTCTAGATTGGGTGATTGTAATGTTATTTCTATGAGTTCCTTAGATATCATTTTCTAAATATGTGCCTAAGTTGTACATTTATTATTTCCTCTGACATGCCTCTTACCCTTTCTCCAGCTGAAGACCTTGCTTCATATTAATTTTTACAGTCTCTGTTTCCGGCCAAAATAACTTGGCTACTGCAAGTGCTGCTGGTGCAGACATGACAGAAGCCGTTAACAAGTGTGAGGAGGACACCTGCAAAACACCAGAAAAATCCCTTTGCTGGTTAATAGTAGCTTAAAAGTAGCTTAAAAAGCGTTGGATACAGTGCTAAAGCATTATCATTCTACCATCCAAAATATCTCTAAAAATGTTACTCTTTTATCATGATTGCCCTTTCCCTTAAAGTAGGAGGAGAACTAAAGGAAGATAGCATAGAGTATACTGAGCTCTATGCAGTAATGAAACCCTGTGCACACAACATGTCCTGCTTTCATCTATACATGTTTTATTTAGGGATGCAACCATATATCGGCCGCCGAAACATATGGGCCAAAAATGGCACTTTTGGCTAAATGCCGAAAGTGCCATTTTCTGGCCGATACAGTGGTGCATCCGTGCTTTCTTTCATTGCCGCTGGGCGCTGCTCTGTGTCTCAGTGGGCAGGAGAGATAGTGCCACAGGCGGCCGAGCTCTGCAGGAGGAGAGAGCTGTTAGCGGCCAGCGTCTCTCCTCCCACACTGCTCAGCCTCCTGTCACAGCCCGCAGAGTGGTGTGCTGTCATAGGAGACTGAGCTCTCCTCCCTGTACTGCTCGCTCAGCCTCCGGGGGATGCTGATCTGTCTCTGCAAGTGGGCGGTGCCAGCCGTGAGATGACGGCTGGCTCTGCCCAGCTGTCAGTAGCAGGCTGTGGGCCGGCTGATGGCCGGCCATCGGCTAGCTCCAGCCAGATTTGTCTTTCGGCTCGACTGAGCCGATTGGCCAACTTCGGGAGCTGTACAGGCTATAGTGAATAGCCCGTACAGCGGCCCTTCGGTTCTACTGAACCGAAGGGGTCCTGGGGTCGAAGCTAGCCGAAGGATCAGCCAAAGCTACGGATCCTTTGGTAGCTTTGTGAATAGACCCCTTTGTATCAGTTTGTAACACACTGAGCTGGCTCGCAGCTCTACAACACAGTGAGTTGCAAGCCGGCTTCGTTTCTATGCTTCCTGTATAACAGTTGTTGAGCTAATCAGACACATAGGTATTGCATTGCTTTCACTGAGACAGCACACACATAGGGGTTGGTTTACTAAAGCGCAACAGGCTGTTGCAGGGTAAGTTTCCTTTATCTTGGTGAATCTGGAGAATACCCAATCATGTGCAAGGAAAAACTGCATTTTTGCTTGCACATGACTGGATGATAGAAGTCAGCAGAACGTTCCCCCACCTTTACTAAACTAGGGGGAAACATCCCCTGCAAAGTGCAATTTCCCTCACAAAGTGAACAGCCTATTTGTCTTTAGTAAATTAACTGTGTGGACTTGCACTAGGAAAAGAATCTAGCAAAGCCCCCTCCACCAAAACCTTGATTTCACACAAACCTAACCCTAACCAGTGTTGGAGTAGAAAAGTACAGATCTGCCATATGCCTGCTTTTCCCATATTTATGAATCTGGCTTTGGTAATTGTTACAATGTACAATAAGACAACAACATTTGTTATCATTAGTATGAAAAAAATGTCATACTTAATCTTAAAATAGATTTTAAATGTTAAACAAGAGGAAAACAACTCACATCATAAGATAAATGTAATAATTAAGTTAGAAGAATAACACAAACGGACATGTTTACATACAGTAGCATTAGAGTAACAGTTACTACTGAATCTCCAAAGGGGATATGTGTTGTCAGCTCTGCTAACCAAAACAATTAGAATGCTTATGCATGTGACATGGACCCACCATTGTAACTGAATTCCAATACTCACTCCAAATGAAATGTATGCTCCCAGTACACTCCCTGCAATTGTAGCAAAACCAGCAGTCATCACAGCATGGATTTCTGATTTGGTTAAATGTTCCAGGTATGGCCTAATCAGAAGCGGAGATTCAGTCTGCGAACAAAAAGAAGCACCAATAGTATCAAGTGAACATTTATTTAGTTGTATACTATTAATCTTGGTTGCAAATCAAAGGGTGCAAAAATCTGCTCTGAAAAATGAGAATATAACTTATGAGGAAGGCAAATTACATTAGAGCAGATTATTCATCTGGTGGTGAGATTGGATACTGTGATTTAATTAAAACCATTTGAGTAATATTTGGACCAAGCAGAAAAAAGAATTAGCCTACAGTTTCACAGGACCCCAACAGCGAAAACTTCTTATCTTCTGTCTCAGCTGTGGCAGATTCCTTGGCTTTTTACAGATTGTAAAAATTAGCTTTTAAATTCTCTTTTCATTAAAAATTGTTTAAACATGTCAAATAGTCAATGATAAGCTAATCTTGAATCATGCTAATCACATGCCAATTAAAAGAAGCTGAAGTCCTTAGTTTTCAACAGGACTTTTTTTTCAAAACTTATAAGTGATTTATTTCTTGGCTTTTCAGCTAAGCTTTCAGTGTCACCTATTAAGGTCAGTTGTCTATATATTATAATGGGGAAACCCATAGAGCCTGTATTTTGAACTTAATACAATTATTACAAGTTTAAATATTTAACCTTGATAATGGTGTGCTTTTGTCACGAGCTACAAGCTCATTTTGTATATTTCTCTGGATAAGCTCTTTTAGGGTACCACAAAATGAGTGCCAACAAGAGTTTTCCTTTGTCTCTTCCAAAAGGGCTCCTGGTAAGTAAATTTCATAATGATTTTGGACTCCTGAATTAATAGAGGGGGGTTTTGAACATCCCAAGAAGGAGAGTGTTTATATTTCCAGCCCATTCAACCAATAGTTTTTTATTTCCTTCAATTAAAATCTTAAACTTTTGGGGAAGAGGGGTCACATGAAGCCCATAATACACTTTTTTGGCATGCCTATAGTACAGGTACACTGAACTGCTGTATCCTGTACTATTGAATGGATTATATATACAGAATCTACTTTACTGGAAGCTTGAAAGAGTATGGCCTGTGACCACCATTCAGGGGGTGGTGGATGCCCCTTCTAGTGTGCTGTTAGCTGTAAGCACCTGGTCAAGTAGCAGAACCTGATAAGTTTTGAATGCATGCGTTTCATATATAGGAATTATACATTAAGATAAATACAGAGGCTACCCTTGCTGATCTCCTTATAAACATGCTAGTTGCTTGGCTACTTGGGCCTCTGTTGATGACATCATTGACAGGTGCATTTCACCTGCAGTTGACTCCCTTCTGACCTGCATTTGACCTGCTTCAAGCAGGTTTTGCATTCACAATTAGAAAAAATATAAATGACTTACCTGGCCCACAAAAATATTTCCTGCTGCAACTAGAGATTCAGTTGGAGTTGTTGCCATAGTTATTTGCATTACCCATCCAACCTTCAAAAAGACAAATACAATTAAGTTGATATTATAGCATCTTTCAGTCATCTCAGAATTAATGAAATTAATATACATTTTGTTCGTGAGTCCCATGATACAGGCAATGGCTGTGCCAAGCATTGTAAAATCCTGACTTCCAGTATTTGCTAAAAGCTAACTGACAGGTTAAGGCCACTTAAGGAACACTATGGGGGAAAAAATGTCTTGTTCTAATAACTGTATGGAGTAATTGCCTGTAATTTTTTTGGTCTACATTACCATGCAGACCTAGCTGTCCAGCAAAAGTTACATGTATGGAACAAACCATATGACAGTGCCATGGGTGCCAACATGCAGGTTTTGGTTATATGGTTTAACCCCTTCATGACTGAGGCCTTTTTTTCATTTTTCGCACCCATGTTATATTCCACATTTTAGGCCTGGAAATGACTTGAAACCCCCAAACATTATATATTTTCTGAATGCCAAGACCCTATAGCATAAAATGGTGGTAGTTTCAAATTTGTACAGCCCAGAGACCAGAAGTGATGCAATCTGCATCGCTCCCGGTCCAATAGAACGGGAAGGTGATCGATGAACGGAAGTTCGTCGACCTCCTCCCCAGCTCCCCGCGGACACCAAGGAAGCCGGTCCCGGGCCCGTAGGAGGGGCAACAAAGCCCGGGAAGCATGGCGGCGGTGTCCGGCGGGGGCCCTTCTACGGGACACAGAAGCTGTCTGTTTAAACAGCCCCGATGCTGGCGACGTACACTGTACGTCGTCAGTCACGAAAAGGGTTAAACCTTTTTTTCAAAAAGAAAAAACTGATAATGTAAGTGCTAAAAAAAGAGTTAGCTTAGCTGTATGTTTGTTTTAATATGTTTTTGTTGCTTACTTAAAGTCTACATATCCATCTAAGAGTATTCTGCCCACAGGGTGACAACACTTCAGTGATTTCACTGCAGAATGAACAGCATTGCCAACTTGTTAATAGAAGAAAAATAATAAATACACTGACAGGATCAACGGATAATACAAATGTTACAGACACACTCAGAAAAACAAATAATGCTGTGTTAGGCCTCATGCATGAGGGTAGTAAGGGGGTGGTAAATTTGTGCGGTTCATGTGCAGTTTTACCACACCCAGCCACCTACTGTAATGTCAGTTACTTTATGTTGTGGCCAGAAACAAAATGTACAGCATGTCGCGTTTGACAGGTGATACCACTTGTCAAATGCGACAATTGAAATGAAAATAGGATTTTCAATAGAAAATCCCATTGGGATTTTTTTTTAAACTGCATTATGGAGCTGGCAATTTTGCCAGACAGCTGCTACTCCACCGCCTGCTAAAAAGCGATCCACCATGAATTACTTTATGGTCAGTGGAGTATCCAGCCCATCTGAATGAAGTCTAAATGTTAGTGACATAGTGTATCATATATGTAATTTTTTATTATGTGTATAGCTCTCTGCCTAGAAGATCCCATTATTGCCTAGTGAGTACATGTACAAAACAGAGGCACACATCTGAGGAAATTTGTCGTGCCTGTATTGTGGCACTCACAACAACATGTTAGCAGTCCTTTAGCTAGGGTGATATTGTAATGTGAGCAGCAGAAAACAAATTTTACAGAAAAAAATGAATGATGTTCTGAATTATTTTAGTTAACTGAATGTTGATCCAGAAAACATATACAGCTGAATAAGAGAAATTAATATTCACCTTTTTAATGAGCCACTGCATGAAGCCAAGAAAATATAGCATTGACATGACCGTGCTGAAGAATATCACAATCGGTAGGACCTAAATGATGACAGTCACAAAACATAGGAGCAAGTTATAGTTCATTCTATCCACAGAATGTCATCAGCTTTGGGGTACAGAAATGAATAGTCTTTTTAATAACTTAGTTTTGAAGATACGCTGTAAATAAAAGTGATCATCTCAACAAATTTAGCTCAGAAGTCAGTTTCACATTATGGGCCTATTCATTTGGAAATAGCTTTGTTATTATATAGAAATGACACATATATTGTTTATAGGACAATTAATAAAAGAAATGATTTAAACTTGAAAAGCTAACCTACCCTTTAACCAGTCATTTTGAACCAGTGTTACTATAGATATAAATATAAATTTTATTCTGCAATTTGCCCTGTTTATCAAGACACTAAAGTCATGTTTCAATTGCAAATGTTGGCAAAGCTTTTTGCAAATTAAAGGAAAAGTATGTTTAGTTACCTTTTATGCTACAATACTTAAATGAAATGAACAAAAAAAGCATATCTGAAAACACTATTTAGAATAGGTGGAGGAAGGTCCTGATAGGAACATGCTAGGGAAAACAAGAGCTTAATGCAGATGAAAAAAGTAAGATTGTGTAAGTCTCACCTTAAAAGCAAAAAAATGGTCCAAAAACTTTTCACCAAATACAAATTTCGACCCTGTGTCTGAGTATTCCAGGAAGGTCTAAAAATATATGAAGAAAAATTATACAAAAATAATAAATTTGTTTTTTTTTAAATATTTTACTCCCAAAATATTAGGAATCTGCTATTTTTAATTGTATTTAACATCTCCTTCCTTTACACAATCAAATTATTTGCTCCACAGATTATGGAAAGCCTTTAGCTAACACAAGTGTGTTTGTTCTTACATAAGGGTCTATTCACTAAGCTGCCGTAGGCAGCCGAGTGAATGACTGACCTGAAGCGAAGTGAGCCGAACACTGTTCGGCTATTCACTTCAGGCTGGTACGGCTGATTTCAGCTGTATAATGGCTGAAATCAGTCGTACATCGGGTGGCTTTGCATGGCTTGTTCGGCCGACCCGAAGTGCAGAAGGAGTTCGACTCAGCCGATCCAACATTTGGATCAGCTGAGCCGAACCTCCGGCAGGCTACTCGCTGCTGTTCGGTCTATTCTCATGGATGCCGAACAGCAGTGAGTGAATAGCCGAATGCCGCCGAGAGGCATTCGGCTCGGCTGTTCTGCTCGGCCTCTCTGTGGGACCGAGCAGAACAGAAAAACAGTGAAAAAAGTAGAAAAATCAAAATAGAAAACGATTGTGCGGAGCTAGCAATGACAGCTAGCTCCGCCCAACAGTTTTCTATTGGCCGGCGGTTCTGCTGCCGTCAAAAAAAAGCAAAAAAAAAAAAAGCAACTCTTCTGGGCGCTCCGGGAGTCTCCCGCTCCCGGCCGCCAAGTAGAGAAACACTGCTCATTCTTATTTTTTCTTATTCTGACACGGAGCCGTGTCAGAATAGAAAAAAAAATAAAAAAATTTTGGCCATAGGAATGCATTGCTAGATTCATATTGGCTATTTCAATTTGCAATAGCCAATAGCAAACTATCATTGTACCCGCCCTCTGCTGCTGTCAATCAGTAGTGGTGGACCTGATGGAGAACTGCAACAGAGGTCGGGTGCATATGGCTGATGTGAGCCGATATACGGCTGAAATCAGCCGTACCAGCCTGAAGTGAATAGCCAAACAGCGTCCGACTCACTTCGCTTTAGGTTGGTCATTCACTCGGCTGCCTAGGGCAGCTTAGTGAATAGACCCCTACGTTAAATTCAATAGGGTTGATTTACTAAAGGAGTCAAGCATGTTGATCTTGCAAAGTAGTTTTCTAACTTGGAAGGACATTTTCCCTTACCGTAGTGAATGTGGTGAAAATTTACCTTGCAAAGAAAACCCAATCACATGTAAGGAAACTTTTTTTTAAAAACAGGATTTTTGCTTGCTCACAATTGGATGATTGAAGAGCTTCACCACATTCACTAAACTAAGTGAATATTCACTTTGCTTAGTAAACAGGCTAGATTCCTTTATAAAATCAATCATATATCTTCATAACAAATAATCAATTCAAATCAAATTTACCTTTAAACGTACATGAAGAATTACAGGTTATATGAAGTATAATGACAGGTACTGAATCAAGTGCTCTCTGTTTGACTTTGTGTCATCAACTCCATTCCGAATTTACATTACAATAATTTTTATTATTTTCAAAAATAATTAAAAAAAACGAACAGTATGAAATTGTAATTTCCAACAACATACAGGTCATGTATAACATAAAAACCACAGATAAAAAACAAGACACTAGAGACCTAGATATTTGAAACTCTCAAGTTTAATAATCCATACATATAGTATAAATATAAGAACATGGCTGTAGCCTCATTTATCAACCTCGCATAATCTCCACAAAGCTATGCCTAACTCCACAATTGGTTCAAGACATCAAAAATGTATAGAAAAATTTATTTTTCTATACATATCCACCGAGACCTTACTATTGTACAAAAAAATGATGATGAGAGACTGGTGAGGCAGGAAGCAGAAAAATAGAAAGTGAAATTAAAAAGGCTTAGGATGTATCTAAACTCAGGAAAAAGTTAATACATTGCATTCCAGTCCTTGCATGTGCTGGCTGACTTATATTCTTTTTATAGGCTTTTTTATGTTAATCTATGTCAGTTTTATGTTAGACTGATAGAATCTGTTTCAAATATTAGTTGCTTTATAACACTTCTATATAACAAATTCATCTAGAGTTCAGTGATTGAACTAGAATGTAATAGTCAATGCGTACGTGTCAGAAAAACATAAGGAGTATATGGAGTTGCTAGGATAAAATGAGTTTAGGGCTGTGTCTATTACATATGTATGGCAAATTACACAGTACTAAATTGCTCCTGTCCAAGACCAATACAAAATCCATGTCTGCCATTGGGCAGCCATGCTTTATCTCTCAGGAACCCGTTTCCAGTGCGTGCATGTAAATGTTCATGTGTGTGTGTTCCAATTTTTTTCTAGTCAATTTATAGGGGACAGACTACTTAGCCAAGCAAAACAAACGACAAACGCACTTAACAATTGTTCTATAAGAGGTGCCCTTGCGCGGCAGTGCGGCTTACACATCCTCGGCTGAAGACGTGTATCCAAACCTCTGTCATTATCCTTAGTGGTGAGACATGTTGTCTTACATGCTGGTTTTCTGAGTGTGCCATGATGCCTTTCTGCTGTTTTACTGTTCAAGGCCCATTTCGTGTGCACCTTACTGTATAACTGGTAACAAATTGTTGAGTGCGTTTGTCGTGTTTTGCTTGACTGATTTGGTAAAGCGACGCATGGGGTTTCTCAGCTGCCAATAAGATGTGCGGGATCCCTTGTGTGTTTCTGTACCTTTAAGAAGGTTGGGCGTCCTCCTGACAAACCTGCACCCAATTTGATATCTTCTGCCCCCATGTGCTCCAAGATGGAGACTCTCATAGTTTAGAGTTAGGACCGCACTATAAGAGGTGCCTTGGCGCGGCAGTGCGGCTTACACATCCTCGGCTGAAGACGTGTATCCAAACCTCTGTCATTATCCTTAGTGGTGAGACATGTTGTTTTACATGCCATGGTTTTGTGAGTGTGCCATTTATTAATGACACTTCATTAATAAAAAGCCTTGCATTCTTTTCAGTGAATGCAAGGTATTCAGTGATTGGGGAGGTGTGAATGAACGTCACTATCTCATCTCTTCCAATCACAGAACGCCTACTTTCAGGACAAACCAAAGTCCTGGATATATTTTAATTAGCTCATATATATAATATACATTCTATATATTCTGACTAATATTTGCAGAAAGGTTACAGATGTTAAACCTAAATGTGCAGCATATAAGAGGAGATAGGCTGCTTGTTAAATGTTCATATCGCCTTGTAAACATTTGTCTTTTAATTACTTTATATGTACTATGCATTTTTTTAATACAGAAGTTTAGTGGAAGATTTCTGATCAAGAAAAAGGAATTACAATAACAGCTTTGGTAGCCATAACCAGAATCTGGTCTTATGCTTGTAGCTATGGTGAGTACTTTCCATTTGCATTGCCAATATTAAACATTGAGGGGAATTTATCAAAACGGGAGCAGACAAAATCTGGAGCAACTCTCCATGGCAACCAATCAGAGTCTATCTTTTGTTTTTCGAGGCTTAACTAAACAAACTGAACAGAGAAGCTGATTGGTTACTATGGGCAACTGCTCCAGATTCTGTGTGCTACATTTTTGATCAATTCCCCCTATTATATTTTGTAAACACTGATGAACACTTACCTGCATTTGAATCCCAAGCCAATCAAAGGCATCAAACCCTGGCTTTGTTCTTAGGATCAGAAGTCCTAGAAGGAACTGTAACCCAATGCCCCAAAAAACTTGTCGCCAGTTGACCTAAATAAAAAAGGGGGGTAATGTAGGAATGATTAAAAATAAAAATACAATTAAATATCAGCTTTTGATGACATGCACATTCTTTTTAACTTTCCTCGCTCATAACTGCGAATCCAAAGTGTGCGCAGGTTCACTTTACTTACTATCAGTCACTTGGAAGTGTAATATATAATATATATGTTTTGTCTGTCTCTTCCCAGTTTCCAGTCAGATCAGATGTTTGAGCAATCGAGGGTTGAGATTTATTCACTAGGGTGTGTGTCTGCTAGGAATAGAGATAATCTCCCTTGAGGAGCCATATTAAATGCTTGGTTGGTTTTATATTTCTTTTAGTATTGTGCTGGACTTTAGGCCTGCATCTGGTAAGAAAGGGATAACAGTTTATATATTTAGACAGTAAAAAGAAGTGTCTAGAAGTGGTTCCAGATCCAAAAATAACAATCCAACTAAAGCTGGCCATACACCTATAGATTATCTGCAGATTTTCTATGGTCAGGTGGAAAAGGTGCAACAGATTCCTCCATCTATGCTAAACTGTGTGGCTGGAGGAATCTCCCGCTGGGCCAAGCTTCAGTATCTTGCTGGCTGTCAAAATACCTGAACAATGCCTGCATCCAATCAGATTGTTCAGGTGTTTTGACAGCCAGTGGGACCGACTAGTGAGATACTGAAGCTTGGCCCAGCAGGAGATTCCTCCATCCACCCAGTTTGGAGGAACCTGTGGTACTTTTTCCATCTGACCGTATAAAATCTGCAGATAATCTATAGGTATATGGCCAGCTTTAGTTGGATTGGTATTTCTCGTCTTATGCCTTGAATAAATAAAGAAGATAATCTAGAGTGCAGATAATCTATAGGTGTATGACCAGCTTTACAACCATCTCTTCCGATGACCACAATGCTGAACGGGCAGTGTGCGTGTGCGCACACCAGCTCGTTCGGCATTTGTCTCCCGAGCATCATTCGAACCAGCCGAAAATCGTAAGATTTTTGGCTGGTTTTCTAGCATGCTACTTAGACAAAAGACGTGCGACCGTACAGTAGAAACGGTCGCACGCCTTCATTCGCACTGCACGATTCTCGTACGATCGCGGTATTTCCCGCGATTCTCGTACTAGAATCATCCAGTGTATGGGCACCTTTAATCATAGCTGTAGGATCGGATTGGAGGGAGGAGGTAGAGCACTCAGTGTTTGTCTTGTGAGCTTATCTTATACTGTATATTTAGAGGTGGCCAAATTAGTATCTTGTCAAGTATCTTGACTGTATGTGTTTTTTTAATAACCTGTTAATAAAACTTGTCAGCAGTATTATGGACTCTATAATTCTTGCTGAGCTTGCCAGAACTTTTAATATATTGTGATAGATGCACTGGGAAAGCTTGTTTGGTGAGCAAAGGGTGTGGTGTGTACCTGGGGTAATCAAAGTCGAATAGGTCACTGCTGTGATTGTTCCTTAGTAGACATGTGCACCAGCAAAAAAATTGTTTAGTTTTGTTTCGATTCAGATTTTGCATTATTTTGTTTTTCGGATTCGGCTCCGAAAGTAAATTAGTTTCGGAATTCGGATTCGGACGAAATTCGTTAGCAGTAGTCCGGTCGAAATTTTGTTTTGGATGAAATTTCGTTGCAGCAAAATGACATTAGGAAAAAAAAAAAACAATTAAAATTTTTTTTTAGTTTGCAGAAGATGAAAAAAAAAAAAGCGTGAGGTTCCCCCCCAATTCATACCAGACCCTTTAGGTCTGGTAGGAATGTTAGGAGGGACCCCCCCAAGTTAAAACACAAAAAAGTGCTTGGGGTTCCCCCCAAAATCCCTACCAGACCCTTCAGATCTGGTAGGAATTTTAAGGGGGAACCCCAGCCCCCAAAAATGGGGAAAAAAACCATGGGGTCCCTCCTAACAGTCCTACCAGACCCTTGATCCGAGCACTGGCCCGGCAGGGCAGGAAAGGGGGGGGGGGCGATCGAGCGGCCTCCCCCTCCCTGCGCTTTACAAGGCCACATGCCCTCTGCATTGGGAGGGTGTGCCCATGGAGACAAGGGCCTCTTCCCCACAACCCTGACCTGGTGGTTGTGGGGGTCTGCGGGCAAGGGGGCTTATTTGCATCGGGGGACCCCTTAAAATAAGGGGGCACCAAGATGCCGCCCCCCCTTGTAAATGAGTAAGGGGTACCCCTACCCATTCACTAAAGGGTTAAATCAAATAGTTAGTAAAAATCCCAATTAAAGGATTTTATCAAAAAGTTATTTTTACTAACTACCCTTTCTCATTTTGGGGCTGGGGTTCCCCCTTAAAATTCCTACCAGACCTAAAGGGTCTGGTAGGGATTTTGGGGGGAACCCCACGCTCTTTTTTTTATGTTTTAACTTGGGGGGGGGTCCCTCCTAACATTCCTACCAGACCTAAAGTGTCTGGTATGAATTTGAGGGGAACCTCACGCTTTTTTTTTCATCTTCTGCAAACTAAAAAAAAATACAAAATTAAAAAATGTTTTTTTTCCTGTCATTTAGCTGCAACGAACTTTCGTGCAAAAACGAAATTTCAACCGGACTACCGCTAACGAATTTCGGGAAATCGGGAATTCAGATTTGTTTGCATTTGTTTTAGCTGTAATTCGGAATTCGGATACGTCCTAATCTCCGAATTTCCGTCCGAATTTCATTTCGGAACAAAACGAATCGCATATGTCTATTCCTTATAGAGAAAGCAGCTGCCCTTGCAAGGTTTCTCAGAACTCTCACAAACCATGGGGAAGCTGGACCATGTTGTTCTGCAGAGAGACAGGGTGGCAGCAGCTTTGACAAGAAAGAACTACCATTTGAAGATAGATAGATAGATAGATAGATAGATATAACTCTCACAAACCATGGGGAAGCTGGACCATGTTGTTCTGCAGAGAGACAGGGTGGCAGCAGCTTTGACAAGAAAGAACTACCATTTGAAGATAGATAGATAGATAGATAGATAGATAGATAGATAGATAGATAGATAGATAGATAGATAGATATAGTTATATAGGCTATTCAGAGAACAATATTTTATCTGTACCAAGACAATAAGAGCAAAGGTTAATTTCTAGTTTTTGAAGAGTCCTTTTAGCATTTAACTTATTGGTCATCATACTGGTCCAGTTCCCTATATTACTATTATTTGCATTAACCACTTCAGGACAGCCCTACGTATATAAACAGTGCTGTCCTGAAGCGGTTTTACCAAGAACACGGCTGCTGCAGTGGTCTTGGTACTAATGTTGGTACCATTTTGTACCAGTGATGGCTTTCACATACAAGGCTTTCCATACCCAATTGTATGGAGCTGGGGAGTGTGTTCCCCCTTCCACTGTGGCTGCCAGCTTATTAGCCCCCTATGTGATAGCAATACATTTAAGTGTAAAAAAAAGCTTAAAACATTAAACTCACATATTAACCACTTGCTGCCCAGAGCACTTTCTTACATTTGCACACACATGATAAAATCAGAATTTTGGCTAGAAAACAGCTTCAGACCCCCAAACAATGATTATATTTTCTGAAAGCAGAGGCCCTGTAGAATAAAAAGATGCTAGTTGAAATATTTTATGTCGCACGGTATTTGTGTGAATTATTTTTAGGATAAAATTTACTAAAACTAAATTTAGTGCACAGAAACAGAATATAATACCTAATTTTTTGGTAAAATATAAAAGACGGGGTCACGCCGGGTAAATAGATACCAAACATGCCAAGCCTTAAAATTGCCTTCATCCGTGAAACTGCAAAAAACTACAATAACCAAAATGTATCATAGGCGACGCTTTAAAAATTGTTACCACCCATCAGTTTAGTGTTAACAGTGATTAATGGGCCTAGAATAATTTCTCTCACTTCGATGCTCGTGAAGATATGTAACATGTATGGTGCATTTTTTTTTTTTTTACAGATAGGCACATCCGACACGTGTTTGCATTGTATGTGTATGCACGTGGGGGGCGGGGGACTTTAAAACATTTTCTTTTACACTCAACTTTATTACTATCACATAAGGGGCTAACAAACCCCCTATGTAATAGCAAATATAATGTGACAGGTCCTCTTTATAGAGACATCAGAGGTCTCCTAGGGACCACAAAGAAGCTGAAGAAGCTTCACCAGCTTCTTCTTCTGGCTCTAGGAGCCAGAGAATGTGTACAGTGACACCAGAAGTGATGTAATGCACATCACTTCCGGGTCCAGGGATCGGAGGAGAGATCAGCGACTGGCACCCTCGGCGGCAGAGGGGGGATGGACATGTCGATGCACCGTACGAGCGATCCGGCGCCTGTACAGATGCCTGATCACTTGTATTTAAACAGCAATCGTCGGCTGTTTAAAATGGTACAGCAGCAGCCGTGTTCTTGGTATAACCACTTTCAGCGGATGACGTACATTTATGTGGACCCGCTGGGAGTGGTTAAAAAAATAAAAATAGTTTTTAAAGTCCTCCACCACCATGTACATGGACATACAAACACAAACAACGATCAGGTGCGCCTAAATGTGAAAACAACGTTTGCACCACACATGTTACATGTCACAACTAACATCTGAGTAAGAGCAATATTTGTAGGGTCATCAAATACTGTTAAAACTAAATTAATGAAGGGTAAAATTTTTAAAACATCGCCTATATGCAATTTTGGTATTTTGCCATTTTGTGTGGATATGCAATATTAAGACGTGGCATGTTTGGCATCTATTTATCTGAAACAACCCCGTCTTTTATATTTTACCAGAAATTAGTTAATATATTCTGTTTTTGTGCACTAATATTTATTTTAGTGTATTCAATCCCAAAAATATTGGTTTGATAAACATTTGCACAAACATACTGCATCATAAAAATTGCAACTAGCATTTTTTTTTACACTACAGGGCCTCTGCTTTCAGAAAATATATACTTATTTGGGGGTTTTAAGCTGTTTTCTAGCCAAAATTTCAGATTTTATCGTGTGTGCAAACATTAAGAGGGTTATTCACGAAGGAGCTGAAGGATCTAGTCGTAGCTTCGGCTGATCCTTCAGCTCATTCGGCCGCCGGAGCCCTTCGAACTGAAGGACTGCTGTACAGACTACTGTGAATAGCAGCCGAAGGCAGGCTCAGCCGAGCGCATATGCCCAGTTGTTGTCCTTCAATGACAGACCAGCGTCTTCAGGTTATTTGAGGACTCTGGGCTGTCATGAGATGACAACAACTGGGCGGAGCCAGTCGTGACATCCGCCCAGTTGTTTTCATTTGTCCGGGACCTGCAGCAAGACTCTGGCAGGTGCCGGCCAAATGTAAACAGTTGGGAAATTGCTAAGAAATTGCTCTGGACAGCAAGTGGTAAATACCTATTTTATATTAGGACAGTTTTTCTTTAAAAAAAACAAAACAATAAAATAATTTGTTCCAGTTGATTGTAATGAATTGATTTTTTTGGTATACTTTCAGGCATTTGTTCCATACCTTAGTTGGGTGTTTAGAGAACACAAACATTAGGAGAATGTACATCACCAGGCCACCAAAGGAAATTAGCTGATTGCTTCCCATTCTCGCAGTGTCAAAAATAAGCCAAAATATAATGGCAGCAACAAGGCTTAGCCATATCACCCTAAGGATAAGATAGCAGGTGTAAAATTTTACATAGCCAATGAAAATAGTAAAATCATAACCATGATGATAATGATAGACAGCATACCACATAGCTGCAATTGTAGATGTGGCCACTGATTGTGTAGTAAACATAAAAGGTAAATCCTGCAATAATATTTATTTACCATTTCAGCCAAAACCATTGTTTCTTAAGGAATGCCCCAACTGGTGAGAAGAATGTCACAATTTTGCCTTCATATCTATCAATAAATAAATCCCAGCATACAAAAAAGATGACCAGTACGGTAAGTACAAAGAGAGCCAACGCTCTTCTGAAGTTTAACACACAAGCTGCAATCACCAGTGCCAGGAAACCTAAGGGAAACACAAATGGCTCTTAATAACTCACATAATTATCCAATACATTTTGAAACAATGACTGAGACGGTAGAAAGAATTGGGGTATACTTAAACAACCAAATAGTCGCTATATACAAATGAGAATTTTTTATTCACTCTGTACTTCCAGGTCGTACAATGAAAGAGTTGGAATGTTCCTCCATACCCTCTCCATGCAAGGACAGGCTTTGTTCAGCTTCATACAGCACACCAGTGTCACACGGCCTGTGCTAAATTTTCCCTGTCCTCCTTAGGACTTGGTCATATTAGTGGGAGTTCTTTTCTCCATCTTGCTCTAAGACACATCTAAATATTACAATCTATTGTTATTGATTGGTCACGAAAGCACTGCACCCAGGTGTTTTGGACAAAAAAGTCTTGCCTGCGCTATTTTGGAATGGTCACTTGCATGTACCCATTGAATGGGATCCTTCCCAATTCATGTGGCAAACAAGTTAATATGGAATTAGCAAATACAGCAGTCCTATCTACTTATTATACATATTGTCCAACAGTCCACCCAAAAGTGATATTTCAGGTGAAGTCTGGCAGGCTGAGCTAGCCTCTAACTTCCTACCTGTAGTTGATAGCCTCAAAGCTATTCCTGATCACCTGGTATTCCAGCTATTGCTATTGCATCCTACATAATATAACATTTATAAAAGATTCCACAGGGAGATTAGAATCCCCTCATGAGACCATATCAGGTGTTTAGGTTGGGGAAATCCAAATAAATCTCTCTTAAATAGAGTCCCAGAGAGAAATAATGCCAGTTGGTATAACACCCCTACAAACACTAAGGGGGTTATTCACAAAGGAGCCAAAGGATCCAGCCGTAGCTTCGGCTGATCCTTCAGCTCTCTTTGGCCGCCGGAGCCCTTTGGTTCAGTCAAACCGAAGGGCTGCTGTACGGGCTACTCACTATAGCCCGTACAGCAGCCGAAGGTGGCCAAATGGCTCAGCCGAGCCGACCGAAGGCATATGCTTCAACTCGACTGAGCCGAAGTGACACCCGAAGCAGGGGAAACGGCCTGCCTAAGGGCCGCCCGTAAGCCCCGCAAATGACAACTGGGCGGAGTCAGCCGTGACATCACAGCCGGCTCCACCCAGTTGTTATTCATTGGCTGGGACCTGCTAGAAGAATCTAGCAGGTGCTGGCCAATAGGAAACAGTTGGGCGAAGCTAGCTGTCTCTGCTAGCTCCGCCCAATTGTTTTTTTCTCTTTAAAAAAAAATCTTTATATTTTTTAATTTAACATTTATTTACATTTAAAAAAAAAGTTTTTCAACTTTTTTTAAAACTTTTTTCACTATTTTCTATTCTGCTCAGTGCTCAGTGGAGGTACAGAGCAGAATAGCTGACCCGAATAATGCTCGGCTATTCGATGTCTTTCTGCACTTCGGCTCACCGAGGTGCAGCCAAAGGCAGCCGATGTACGGCTGAAATCAGCCATACTGACATACTGAGCCGTAGTGAATAGCCGAACGTTATTAGGCCCACTTCATTCCGGCTCGGTTATTCACTCGGCTGCCTTCGGCAGCTTTGTGAATAACCCCTTAAATTATCAGTTTTGGGAGGGCTGATCCTTTAAGTATGTACACATAAACTTCTACAAATAAAGTTTATTGCTAGTTTTTATAACAGAAAAAAACATTATCAATTCAATGAAATATATGCTGCTTATAAGTAATGTATATTGCAAATCATTCTTTTGCTTAGAAAGACACATTTGAAACTGTCTAGCTCAGTAGTATTATATGCTTACCTGCCAACAAAATGCCATAGAGTACATATTTAATTATAGTTTTATGTTTCCTGCAGAAGGTACATGCCGCATCATATTTCATTTCAAGGTAACTGTAAGGAAAGATATAAGGAGATGAAAGAGACATGAAGTGAACAGTGTTGACTTAGCAGTACTTAAAAATGGTACAATGTCGATTGTACTTTGGCACTTGCTTACAGGCTCAAAGGTGTCTTGTGTTAAATACAGCAGTAACTGAAGTGTTATTAGATATGTCATCTCACTGTTGCATATTGGTTAGTGTTTAAGCAGCCAAAGAGCATTTTCATGTGGCACTATATAGTAGTAAATAAGGTCATGGTAATGCGCTAAAAGGCAAGTGCATTGGAGTACCATTCAAAATTTATGTGTTACTGCACATTGTAGTACAAATGCAGTTTTTCCCCATGTTACTGCAACACGCTAATGTGAATGGGCCCTTAGTTTTTAAAGGCTTTTTTGTGGTTATTCATATAAAATGATCTGCTTGACTGGTTGCAGGTTGGGATTGTCTCAACTTCCCCGTTCGTCCTCCCCATCGAGATTAAGGGCTTACTTGACCGTAGGCAGTTGAATCATGCCTACTCAAAGATTGTATTCTAAAGTTTATAGCCAACTTTAACTACTATGCTTTGTAATGCTGGCACAGAAAATTTTGACTATACAAGCTTATTTGGTGCACTTATTGCTAAATGCCCGGCAATCCTTACCCCAAGCAAGTTTTTTGGAAGAATGGTCATTTTGGTATGAGAATGTTAGTAGCACAGGACTTGGAAGCAAATGTACAGTATCATTCATTTTCTGCACAATGAAATGTAGTTTTTTTTTATTCTTTTAACATTTTGAAAGTGTCCCCAGATCCAAAGATATGATAAATCATCAGCCACCGTGGTACCATTGTGATTATTTGATTCCTAGCTGTCACTGTTGCATTTATTCTGTAAATAATGCTGCTGACCACAGATTGAACCATGTTAACAAGTACTTAAATGTCTTGCATAACTGTCACATGCTTTGATGGGAGCCTGAGTTAAAGAGGACAGCCTCTCTTGCTGCTCCAGTTCATTGTCCCTGGATACTGAGACAGAGAGTGCAGGAAGGAAGGAGTGGCATGACTGATGGTGGGTGATGATGCCACTAATATCACTGGAACTTGTGAATGCAGTCAACTTATGGCTGGAGGTGACAGGAGATGCAGGTGACCGATGAGAAAAGTCCATGAACAAGCTCAGCAACTGTCAAGTGAGACGGTACCAATATGGCAGGCAGAGTCAGGGACAGGCCAGGTCAGCAACTTGTGGGTAACATAGTACCAAGTAGCAGGCAGCAATCATAGTCAGGAAACAAGCCAAAGTCAACACAGGAACCGGACAGTAATCTTAGAAGAGCTGCAATAGAGTCAGTGGGCGAGCCAGCTCAGTAACAGAAGATCAGAATCAGATGCAGAATCGCAGGTCACGGGGTATAGCTGAAGATCTCTCGGCACTGGAGGCCTGCAGGTTTCAGCCTTAAATAGCCCACTTAGTGGCACTATTCACAATTAGTATGCACATGCACCTGCGCACATGCTGCAAGTCGTGAAAGCACCTGCGCAAAGATGCATGGCCATGCCCAACTCTGGTAGCAGAACTATGTGCGATTCTATTACCAGGACTCTGCAGGACATGTGCAGGTGCTTGCGCTGAACTGCCATGTGATCTTGCTGACAGTAGCAATGATTTTCTTGCATTGTTTGCACATACTGTATATGAAAGATAAAGCAGAACTCAGGGCAAATAAAATCTTAACCTTTGCAGTGGGGCAACCCCCATACAGCAATAGTTAAGTGCTCATGTTGTCTACGGAGCTATACTCACTCACGCGAACCTCAATCCCCGCTTGCTTTTACACCACTACCTTCAGCCTCGCTCCCCTTCACTCCACTGATGGAATGTCCCTTGACGTTCTCACACTCTATGCACTGTACTATACACTGTATAGAATGTGATGACCCCCAGGACCTTAGACCACTGGAGCCGAGGGGGGGCGAGGGGGGGCGAGGGTGTCGGGACCGGTCTAAGAGCAAGCCAGGATTGTAGCATATTTACTCCCAAACTTTAGATTATTTACAAACAAGTTAGGATCCCAAAACTGATCTGTAGGGTACGCAATTTGAGACTTTTCAGAGTATGACTTATTGACCTTAAAGTATAAGCAAACCTAAAATGAATTTAGAAGTCTCTTCTGCCCCAAAACTTTTTTACATTCAATTTTTAATCTAATTTATCAGTCAAAATCATACATTTGACACTATAATTTAAAATATGACAAAGTTATTTGCAAATGAGAAAAATTATTTCTTTCAATTGTGTAATTTTTTTTAAATTCAAAATACAAAACACTGAAAAAAAAAATAACAACAAATAAAAGGGGGTTTAAATAGGAATACATTTTATTTACAAAAAATATGCTTTTTAAAGTTTAAGTTTCTTTAACTGATGTGACATTCTACATATAAAAGAAATAGTAAATACAATGAAAACAATACAAGGACTCTTTCACTCTCTTTGTAAGTGTAATTTTATACAGGAACAACTGCATTTTGACAGCCGCTCCTGCTGTGTAATGAAAAGCAATTCCTAGCTATGATTTTGACAGCCAGTAATTGCCAGTAATAGAGACAGGGGGATCAGTGGGGGAAGAAGCATGAAAAAGGAGACGCATCCTAGAAACGTTGTTGAAGTTTTTTTGGACCTTAAGTGGTTAAATCTATTTTCCTGAGTTAAAATAAAAAAGAAGTGATTACAAAGGTTGGAAAATGTTTCATTATTTTCTGTGTGGTTTGGCTACTGTATGCCAAACAATGTTTTTATTGTAAATGTTGGCTTAGGGATAACATAACAAAAGACATTCTAATTCAAAATAATTCTAATAAATTCTACTCTCAACAATTCCTTTTGTGATCTGCCTTGTATGGACACTTCTTGGCTCACACTGATCAGCCTCCTGATGCAGCCTCTCCTTTTGAGAACTGACAAAAAGTTACAATGTTCTAACAGTCCCAGGGAGTGATCACTAGAAGACAGGACGCTGGGGAATGAATTCCTTCTAGCTGTACCAGGTTGACAAAGGGATCTATTCACTAAAGGGTGAAGAGTTTGGAGAAGGCAGGAGAAGTGAACAATCTAGGACAAAATACCTGATTTGGAAATAATCCCCAATTTAGCTCACTTTCCAGTTCAGCTATGTTGTCATAGATTGTTCACTTCTCCTGCCTTCTCCAAACTCTTTACCCTTTAGTGAATAGACCCCGAAATGTTTCTCCCGAGATGCTTCTCTCAGGTCTAGGCACAGTCACCTGCCTGGAACTCAAGGACTGCTTTTCACTGATAAAAGTTTATTTTTTTGTAAGTATTACATTGGTATACATCGGGAACATTTCCTTCACCGAGCCAGCTATAACATATTGCTAATCAATCAGGATCAATAAAACTTTATTAAAATTGACAAGTGGCATTTAGGCATCATAGTCATTTTTGGCAAATAAGTACTTTACCTTTTATCTTTTGAGACTCCATCATCATATTTATCCAGAGGAATTGAACGGTGTTCATCAAGCTAAATGGAAGATCCAAAAAGTGATAAAACAATCAATTCTAATTAATTACACTAATAAACATTCTAAATATTATCACAAGCTGATAGTTATGTTGGGAGTAAAGAGATCTTTTAAGATCAGAAGACCTATCATGCAGGTGTTACAGATCCAAATTTTAAGAATTTACTTTGAAGAAATTTGTCATGAAGGCTGCAAAATACACAGGTACTGTCATAATGCAACTGGATTTTCAACCTACCTAAATGATAAAAAAAGCAATTATGGTCAAGAAGGCACGTTATTTCCTGCTTACACATGAGCTAATTGCCAAATCTAATTAATGTTCCATGTAAGGGTAGATTACACAACAGCCATCTTTTACTAAAGCTGGCCATGCACCGGTGGTAATTTGTTTATTTTCAGAATTAACTTTTGATTTTCAAATAATTAATGGGGTCAAATTGACAATCATTTTTAACTGCAGTGACAGGAACCTTAGAATCATGAAACATGAATTAGTATTTTATTCAGAAATACAGGATAAGAGATTGTTGGTTATTAAATGTAATATTAAAAGATTTATAATAAAATGTTATTTTATAATAAAATGTTATTTTTTCCAAGTATTACTACACATGCTCAGTCGACTTATTATTCTGTTTCCTAATAATTCTATTGTTAATACATCCAGGCAAAAGCTTTTTTATTTTTAGATGGCAGTGTGAACTGAAGAGGGGTAAAGCGTTAGATCCTCGGTCGAGCTTCTATGCTTTTTAGGGAAACTCCATCCAATTCAAGGGCGTCTACCAAACAGGGACACGGATAACAACAAAATGTGACTTCCCCTCACATCATATTGTGAACATCATTTCAAAAACTTTTTAAAAGAAGATGTAAAAGAAAATGCATCCATTTGAAAAATATGATAAAGCAAGTGACTGTTAAAAGCTAGTGCCTTTTGAAAGGCTGTAAATATTGCAAGCTCTCACAAGCAGGGACCTCTTAACCCTTGTGTGTGGAATTGTATTCCAGGGCCGGCCTTAGGGGTGTGCGAGCAGTGCGGCCGCACAGGGCGCCATGGCAACAAGGGCGCCGTGCGGCCGACACAGCTCGTCCTGGGGGCGGCTTCTCTCCCCCTTACCGCTGGGCGCTGCCCATCCCATATGACAGCGCTCCCTCGTCCGCCCCCCC